GGCTTCCTTTTATAGGGTGAATAAACCACTTTTGTTATGACTTACAAAGCCTTATGTGATCTGGTGGAGTGCTTGGTAGTACAAAGGGTAATGCATTTAGCTACCAACCCAAAGCTTGGAGGTTTACATCCACCAGAGGTGCCTTAGAAGGCCTGGAGATCTGCTTCGGAAAGATCAGCCACTGAACACTGTGGAGCACAGTTCTCTGACACATGAGTCGGAATCAACTCACAGCTATTTATGTGATCTGACACCCACCTACTTCCCAGTTATCTTTGGCTGCCATTCTTCACTTTGCTCATAACACTTTGTTAAACCAGTTTTCAGTTCTTTGAACACCCTTCTTTCTTCATTAGAGCCTCTGCACTTGCCTTTTCTCTTAGAATGCATTCTCGCAATTCCTCACATGGCTGGCTCCTAAACTTTCTTATCCATTTAAGGCTTTGACTTAAACATTACCTCTTCAGAGAGCCCTCTCTGACTGCCTGTTACATGGATTGAATTGTGTCCCCCCAAAATATGTGTTGTAAATCCTAGCCTCTATGCCTGTGGCTATAATCTCATTTGGGTGTGGGTTTTTTTTGTTACGTGAACAAGACAGGATTAGTGTAGGGTATCTTAAATCAATCTCTTTCAGATATAAAAGCAATTGAAAAAGTAAGCAGAGCAGAGATGGGGTAAGATAGATAGATGCAAAGATACATGGAGATCTCCAAGGAACCAGAAGTGAAGAGACAAGGATCTTCCTCCAGAACCAAAAGACATAGAAAGGCTTTCTTTAGCAATGGCACTCTGAATTCGGGCTTCTAGCCTCTTAAACTGTGAAGGAACTCTGGTGGTGTAGTGGTTAAGGCGTTTGGCTCCTAACCAAAAGGTCCGTAGTTTGAACCCACCAGTTGCTCCATGGAAGAAAGACATAGTGGTCTACATCTGTAAAGATTTACAGCCTTGGAAATCCAGTGGACATCACTATGGATCAGAATCAACTCGATGGCAGTAAGGTTCTTTTTTTTTTTGTAAAATGTGAAAATAAATTTCTTTGTTAAAGTCATCCACTTGTGGTATTTCTGTTGTAGCAGCATTAGATAACTTAAAAAAAAAAAAAAAAAACCTTAAAAAAAAAAAAAGCCTTTGAGTCGAATCTGACTCAGAGCAATCCCTCCTTGGTTTTCTGAGGCAGAATCTCTATGGAAGTAGATCGCCCAATCTTCCTTCCCAGGAGTGACTGGTGGGTTTGAACCACGAGCCTTCTGGTTAGCAGTCAAGTGCTATGCCACCAGGGTTAGATAGTAAGACACCACCTTATCTAAAATAAATCCCTTGTTATTTGTTTCTTCACAGCATTAGTCTGTTTTTAAGAGCTTACTTTTTCCTTTTTATGAGGGTGGGTCTGCCTCATTCACTAGGATGGAAGTTATATAAGAGCAAGAAGCACATAGGATTTTTAAACTATTGTTTCTCTAGAACCTATCACAGTAGTGACAAATATTTGTTGAATGAATGACTCTTGATTTCATCTTTACCTCTCAAGTTGATGCCCCATTTTATAGATGAGAAAACCAAGGCTTAGAAAAGTCAGAAACTTATTCTAGATCATAGATAGGATCAGGACGCAGATCTAGGTTTGATGACTTCCAGGCCTGTGTCCCTTACACCTCAGGCATTTTTTATCTTACCTACCAAGGGAGCTCTGGTGGTGTAGTGCCTAAGGCATTTGACTGCTAACCAGAAAGCTGGTGGTTCAAACCCATCAGCCACTCCTCGGAAGGAAGGCTGGGCAATCTACTTCCGTAATGACAGTGCCTCAGAAACCCAAGGAGGGGTTATGAGTCAGATCTGACTCGATGGCAGTGGGTTGGGGTCTGGTGGCATAGTGCCTAAGGCATTTAACTGCTAACCAGAAGGCTGGCGTTTCAAACTGACCAGCCATTCCTCGGAAGGAAGATTGGGCAATCTACTTCCACAGTGATACCACCTCAGAAACCCAAGTGTGAGTCAGAAACGACTCAATGGCAGTGAGTTTAGTTTTTTTTTTTTTTTTTTTTTGGTATTAAGCTTGTACTGAAAGACCAGACTAAAACGGCATAATTACTGAACCTTGGGATAACCTGGAAGCAGTTCCAGAATTAGTCATTCAAGAGCACACATATCTTGTCCTTATTGATTTTCTATAAAGTACACCAGAGAAAACCCTGAACCTGAAGATTAAAAAGACCTCAGTAATGTACTTCATAAGATTTGCTGTCTATTAAAACACCACAGGCTATAGATTGTGTGTGTGTGTGTGTGTGTGAAATCACTCTGGAACAAGCTAGTATCTGACAGTTGTGTTCCAATTTTTCAGTTTCATCAAAATTGTTGATCCTAGCACTCAAAACTGCTTTACCTTATAAAGTAAAATTTGAAGTTGAATAAAATCACCAGTTAATGCTGGGCTCTTCAGAGACTGTGGTAGTTACCATACACTACTAGTATTTGCTGAGATTGCAAAAGATTCTTCTGTTTCACTGATTCAACCAGACATGGCTGGAGGATATAAAAGCTTATGCTGTAATAGATGGATAATAGCTAACAATACTGAATATTTACTTGGACTAAGCTTTATATCAACTATCACATCTAATCCTCACAAATCTAGAGAGTTATCATTCTCATCATTTTACAGATCTGAAAACTGGGACACACAGAGATTAAATAACTTGTACTGGTCATACATCTACAAGTAAGAGGATTCATATTCAGGCAGTCTGACTCCATCGCACCTTTTTAATGGTTATATCAGGATGCTCTGAAAGCTAAAATTGAACAAAAATATTTTAAATTGGAGCAAAACTCAAAATCATAAAAAAGACCAGGCTTACTGTTTTGATAGAGACTGGTGGAACCCCCATGACTATATGCCCCTTAGATAGCTTTTCAGCCAGTAAGTGAACTTATCCCCAAGGCTCAACTTTCAGCCAAACCAAAGATAAACCTATAAGGTAAACAATAATATACCAGGGAGGTACGCACTAAGTAGAACAATCAACCACATGAGATAAAAAGGGCAGTAAATGCTGACCAAGGATCAAACTCCAAAGGCAGGAAGGGATAGGAAAGAACAATGACGGAAGATGGTAAACACAGGGAGGAAGTAAGGAGAATGGTGTTACACTGTGGGGAATGCAATGAATGTCACAAAACTAAATGTGTATGAATTGTTAAATGGAAAACCAATTTCCTCTGTAAACTTGTACCAAAATCACAATAAAAAAATCTATTTTAAGTATCAGTAATATTAAGTGTCAGCAAGGTAAGGTCACAAACATATAGTGGAAGGAAGAGTCATGGGACTTGGCTTGGTAATCCAAGTCATGGTACTGGCTAAAAGGGGCCTGAGAGAGTGCATGCTCTCAAGCCTTCATTTTACAGGGAGATGACTAAAGCTCTCATCTTTGCCTTACTCACGAATGGGCTGAGCCAAGAATGCAGATTGTAACTTCAGTATTCTTTATGCTTCTGCCATGCAGCCTTATTTATGGAAGCATATTGTAAAGTCTTCAGGGAAATCTTTAGGAAATAATTTTGACAGGCTCTGACAGCAATACAGAGGCAAAGAGCTATCATTAGATCCGTGATTATCAACTAGTCTTTCAAAGTAGAAAAGTCCTCCAGGTAACTCTGATATTCATATAACATGTTATCTGCTTTAATGTAGTAAGTTTGGTTTTGAGTTTGATTTTAGGATTACCTAAGTATTGGAATAGGCTACTTTTTGCTACTGCATACTGTCATTGTTTATTTTATATTGAAAGCAGCAGTGGTGAAGGGTATGGATGTGCTGCCCTAAGGAAAAAAGGTTTGTCATGTGACCTTGGCTTCCTGACACATCTGATTGGACTAGAAATTGCTGACTAAATGGCCAGACCAATCAGATCATGCTTTGTGTATATCACTCTTCAGTTGACATAAGAAAACCAGTTGGTTGCTAACAGGGTCTAGAGCTCAAGGGTTAGAGTCAGGGTCAGATTTATCACAGTGATAAGTCTTAGCCTTGTGCAGACCATTCACGGGACAGCAGAAATTCAGAACAAGAAGCCAAAATGCAGAGAAAAATGTTAGTCTGATGTGAATCAACTATACTTTGTTTACTGTCTGTGGCTATTTCTGAAACTCTTAGAAGACTTACAGTAAAGTTCCCTCTTGTATTGACATATTTTCAATGTGGGAAAATAGTTTTTCCTGGTCCCAGTATTTTCTAAAAGGTAGATTAAATTTTCTCTGCAAGCATCTTTTTATCCTTAAATTTGATAATGTATGTTGTTGTTCTTGTTATGTGCCGTCGAGTCAAACCTGACTCATGGTGATCCCTCCTTAGGTTTCCGAGGCAGTATCACTATGGAAGTAGATTGCCCAACCTTCCTTCCGAGAAGTGGCTTGTGGGTTTGAACCACCAGCCTTCTGGTTAGCAGTCAAGTGCCCTACGCACTACGCTACCAGAGCTCTTGATAATGTATAGATTTTGAAAATATTAAGTCCAAACAGCCATTATGACAACAACATTATGATTTATGTATCAAAAAGAAAATTATAGGTGCTCAATAAATATTTGCTGAATGCATCAATAATGATAGTCTTGACAGTAGAATTAAAAACACTTTCCATTTTATGTTCATTATCAGTGCTTCAATACAGAACATTTTGTAATGATTAGTGACGTGGACATCAATAGTTTTTCACCAAACACCAAGTGCCAATCTTTTCAGGTAAATACTGATATTCCCCAAACATAATTTCAGAGGATGGTGATATCATTAGCATAATTCACTCAAATCATGAACATTATCTGACCATTTCAAAAAACTTTTTAAAACTTCCACAAACTTCCCACTATTAAAAAAAAAAAAAAAAAAACTCCCAAAAAAATGAATGATAAAATTAAACTTTGGAATAAAATTCATTTTGGAAAAGTAGAGAGTCATTTTTCTAATTCTGGCTTTATAAGATTTTTTTTTAATCTATTAAAAAATACGATGGGGAGTGTGTTCAGAGAAGTAGATAAAAAGGAGCTTCCAGCTGATGGATTCAACATGTCTGAAAACACTTACGTAAAGGAAAACTTTAAGAGCAAGAATATGTTATAAATAAGAAATATTTCAGAGAAAGATGAACAGAGAAGCAGTTTTTATATCAGTTGCTCCCAGGGGAGAGAGGTCTTCCTGATGAAGGCTTATTTATAGAATCTTCTGTAAGATAGAGTTGGCTACTTCCAGTGATTCCTCTTTTACTAAAACAATATCATAAGCGTCCATGTACTTTTCTAAAAGATCATCCACCTAATCAACAGAAAACAAAAATAAAATTAACACGCAGGCAGGAGAAGCAGCGAATAATGTATCACATGAATCTCACTGCTATGTTAAATGTGTTGGGCAAAATGTCGTACGTTTAATTTCATTAAACCTTTGAAATAAAGAAATACTTTAAAACTTTTAAGATTCACTGACACAGCAATTTTCCCAAAATGATTTCTCTCTAGTCCAGGGGTCTCCATTGGGGTAATTTTGTCCCACAAGGAACATTTGCCAACAGTCTGGAAACATTTTTGACTCTTACCACTGGGGGGTGCTATTGGCATATAGTGAGTAGAGGCAAGGGATGCGGCTAAACATCCTACAATGCACAGGACCGCTCCCCACAAAAAAGAATTGTTTGGTCCAAAAGGTCAATAGCGCCAAGGCTGAGAAATTCTGTTCTAGTCTATTTCCACAATGGAATTTGCTGAGAGGCCTCATTTAGAATGTATGCCTTTTCCACCCCCAATACTTCTAGCATGCTTCTGTATATGACAATAGTAAAGAATAAAGAAAAGTCAAAATATCTCTAGAATAACCACTTTCTGTTGCCTTTGGCAACAATTACCTATCAAGTTTCATGCTAATTTTTCCTTGAAAGAAAATTAAATAGTAGATCTGTACTTACTCTATCATTTAGATACCCAATTTTCAGAATGTGTTCAACGTTGGCTACTCCATCTGCCATTCTTAAGTCTCCTTGGGAGTCCCCCAGCAGAATTATGTTGCTGTTGTCTTTCAGTTGCTTGAAATATTCTGTGTTCTTTAAGGCACCATCATGTTTGTTAAATACATGAATTAATTCTCCTTTAAATCCTTTAAGCAACCCCTATTTAAAAAACAAAATCTTTTGAAATAATAGCTTTTGACAATTGTAGTTGTTCTTTTTTTTTCTTTTTTTTTATCGGTGACTATAGAGATCTCAAGGAGCTCTGGTAGCATAGTACCTAAGGCACTTGACTGCTAACCAGAAGGCTGGCGGTTCAAACCCACCAGTCACTCCTCGGAAGGAAGGTTGGGCAATCTACTTCCGTAGTGATACTGCCTCGGAAACCCAAGGAGGGGCTGACTCGACGGCACGTAACAACAACAACAACAACATAGAGATCTCAAAAGCACTTATATCCATCACATTCACAATAAATAAAAAGGGCTCTGAGAAGGACATGAATTTCTAGAGATGTCTTTAAAAGATAAAACATAATGAACTGACAATCCAATTTAAAATTTTCATTTTATTGCTAACAAAAAGATCCCACTTTATGTATTTCATAATACACTACATGTTGATTAGAAAAACTCATGTTCTAATAGTACCAGTTCTAATTTCACCTTTCCCCCTACGTAGATGTTAAGTTTTCAGACTTGCTCTATTAAACTGCTATAAAAGAAATTTTACTAATTTTAATATCAGTCTATAGCTAGGGGAACAAAAGGTTAAGAAAGGGTATATTATTTTTAAAACATGGGTATAACACTGGCAAAGATAATAAGGTAGATTAAATTTTCTCTGCAAGCATCTTTTTATCCTTAAATTTGATAATGTATGTTGTTGTTCTTGTTGCCTAGCAACTTGTTTAATTTAGTGAACATATTAAATACTAAGTTACAAATACATTTACATGATTAAAATGTTTTCAGATTAATGTCATTATAAAGAATGATTTAATATTCTTACATTTTCATCAAAATCCATGAAATTGGACACTACTTTGACATTTGGATGATAAACACCAGCTTGACGAATAACCTCCTCTAGTACATCACCAATTCCAGCCGAAAATATGAACACAGGGATACTGTGTTGATGGAGCTTATCGAAGAAATTTTCATATCCTTCCCTGCAACATGGAGGTACAAACTGACCGTGAAAGAACAAGACACATCTCCTTTTCTCTTAGAAGTTAAAAAAGCTGAATATTTCTACCCAATTCTATGGTATATTTATATGCATATTTGAAAATAATGCCTAAGAGGGCTCTTATTGATATCTATGATATTATTACAAGTTTTTCATTCACAACTGTTAACTCTTTGCCCAATTTTAATCAAGTGGGCAATCTCTACACTCACACTGAATATGGATATAAGCCTACAGTTCAAAATTTATACCATTTAACAGAAAAAAAAATTAAACCACACCTAAAAGTTCACTTCAGGGAGAGTCTGCTTATGTAGACTCCCTACTGTTTCCTATTGTTAGGAAAGCAGACCAGCAGGAATGCAGCTGTGTTCTCTCTACATTTGGCATCTCTCCTTCCTCAGATCCGGAGCTAGAGGTAATAGTTGATCTTAAAATCTTTTCTTCCTTTTTACTCTTTCTGGGGACTAAATAAAGCTGTTGCTGCCTACAAAGGAATGGGATACAATGCTTTCTTCCTTAGAAGTACATAAAATACAGTATCATTGTATTTTAGATGTTGAAAATTTTAAAAGTGATAAAGAATAATGAAAGCAAGCTTAAAGATTTTTACATCTTATGTATTCATACATTATGAATGTTTTAATTATTTGCTAAAACACATGCACCTTCATAGACATAGTTTTCAAGGAGTTTGAGAATTCAGAAAGTAGAGTCATGTAAATTTAGAGAGTCATTGGTTAAAACCTTTTCTACTTGATTATAAACATTCTTTCCATATTTCATGTCTTACGAAAGTATTTAGCTAAGACATTTGAAAATTATTTTGGTTTCATAAATCTTTAACTTAGTCTTAAAATGTTTACTCTAGAGAAAGAAAATGCAAATCAGTCGTTAAATCTCTTAAGTCTCTTATTCCCTACACTACAATCTAAAGGAGCTCTGGTGGTATAGTAGTTAAGGCATTTGGCTGCTAACCAAAAGGTTGGTGGTTTGAAACCACAAGCCATTCCAGGAAGAAAGATGGAGCATCCTGCTTCCATAAGATTTATAGCCTTGGAAACCCAATCGGGGTCACTATAAGTCAGAATAGACTGAATGGCAATAAATTTGGTTTTCTGGAAGATTTAACTTGTTATTCTAAATTCCTTATCTCATCATTATTTTACAACAGGTAGCATATTTTGGATGTGTTTTTAGGTGGCAAATTATTACAGATTATTTTAATTAAAATCCACATTTGAATACATATGTAACAACTGTTCCACAATAACAGACAACAAAAAACACCCAGCAAACTTACTTGAGCATAATATCAGATTCTTCCACAATTTCTTTAAGTTTAGATTTTGGTAAAGCTTGTTCAATAAGCAAACGATGTGACTTAGTATACCTAGTATTTATGACCAAAGAAAAAAAGAATATCAATTAAACAAAGTAAAACTACTACCTTTATTGCAATGCCTTCTTTGGTGTGAAAAATGCAGTGCTTCAACCATCATATGTATTTCTGGATTTAAATTTTAGAGACTTAAATTCGTAACTACTAGATGTATACAAACACACGTCTCAAAGGGATAGTAAGGAAGTTCTTACTGCATCTCCCAAATTCTGACTTACCTTAAATATGTTCCTAACATATTGAAAGGAAGCTAGTTCTGAACCTTTTCTTAGTCTACAGATAAGAACTGAGTCTAATCTAGGGTCATTTCTCTGACTGAAATAAGAATTAGAGCAAAGCCATTTCTCTCATCTGTGTGTAGTCTGAAATTTCATGAAATTCCTAAGTACTGAAGATGCTGCCTAGTAAGTAAGAAAAATTTGTGTTATGGAAAGTTTTAAATATAGGTTACCCTGCCTTATAATTAGGAGCTCTGGTAGCATAGTGTCTAAGGCACTTGACTGCTAACCAGAAGACTGGCAGTTCAAACCCACCAGCCACTCCTCAGAAGGAAGATAGGGCAATCTACTTCCGTAGTGATACTGCCTCAGAAACCCAAGAGGGGTCGCTATGAGTCGGGCCTGACTCGACGGTACGTAACAACAACAACAGCCTTATAATTACCTGCAAGCATATATAATCACATTATCTCAGTGTAACAGGCCTTTAGAACCTAACCTGATACCTAAAAGTCCCCCTACAATATCCAGAAGTGGCCCTCCTCTGCCTGAGTCAGCACCCATCTTGTCTGTGAGCTGATTTGCCCAGAGATTTATTCCACTGCCAGAAAACTCTTAATCACTAGGTAGTCCTTTCTTGTATCATGCTGAAACCAATCTTAAGCCTTCCAAGTCTTGGTCCAGTTTTGCCTCCACAGACATGTAAGTAAGTCTAACTTCTTTTCAATATAAACACTGATTAAGTGTAAAAGGTACCCTTTAGAAAATGGGATCATAAAGGTAAATAGTATCATTCCTTTAAAAAAACCTCATTGCCATTGAGTTGTATCCAACTCATAGCGACCCCTCCTTGGGTTTCTGAGGCAGTATCACTACAGAAGTAGACTGTCCAATCTTAACACCGTAAGTTGTTGATTTGCAAAGCTAAGCATTCTTTATGAGATGTTCCTTGAATGGATGACTCCAATTTCTCTGATCATCCTGGTAGACTCTTGTGAGTCTGTCACTCTGTTTGTCAACATTTCGCTGAACAACATCCACTCAGAACTCAACACAATGCTGTAAGTGTGGTCTGCTTGGAATGCTGCATTCTGATTCATGTAACTAACACCACAAGTCTATTTCTCGGTAACCATGTCACCCTGCAGGCTCCAACTAAATTCAGAGTCAATTAAAAATCCCAGCTCTTTTTCTATGTATATTTAGCCATATCTTATTCATAGCTTGTGTTTTGTTTTTTTTTTTAATGCTTGTTTTTATGTAAGATGTAAGTGTAGGATTTTAATTCTTATTGAGCTTCACCTTAAAACAAACAAACAAGAAAACCCCAGTCTATTAGAGTGATTAGAGAATTAGAGTTCATTTTATTTTATTTAATTCATAGGATAATTTCTGAATCTATTTATATATTGGGGGAAAAAGTAAATCCTTAGTTGTAACTGTAATGTTATTACATTAACTTACCATTCTACCATATAAGGGTACTTCTCTTCAATGGTAAGAATAGGATCAACTTCAATAGCATAATATTTTTCTTTTAGTTGCAATAACTAGAAATAAATAACAATCATGAAGATGATGACAGTTTTGTCATTAATCTGCTTAGTTTTATAGAAAATAGATAATGTAAACAAATGTTCTCCATTAACTGCTGCATGGTAAAGATAAGACCATAAGTACTTAGCTAACGCTTATACTGAAGATATTTTTGTTGATCTTAGCTTACATGTAACTATATCTGCCAAAAGCTACTTTTCTTTAAGGACTTTCAGGCCAGCAATTGCATGAAACCAACTAGTAGCCAAATTTATCACTAAAAAACTTAAGACCTCATATAAAAGTACTGTATTAGATTCACATTTTGAATATTATTTTGTTAAGATTTACAAAGATGGACATATACTCAAACAAAGCAGATCAATTTAAGGGAGCAAAGCCTACATAAAACCAAAGTACTTTTGTTTTAATTTTCCAATTAACATAAGGATACCAGAATTATTTTGGAAATTATTTTAAAAATTTTAACACAAGGTTTCCTTCTGGTTGTTGTTTAAAAGTTACTGTTAATTTTTACTATGAAATAAAGTGTACAGTGTATAATCCATACAACAATCAGCATTTATTGACTGTTTACTGCATGTCAGGGATGGTTACAAATACTCAACATGTACTCTTGATTGTGGGAATGAACCTGAAAAATTCTTGGGCAAAAAGGGTAATAAAGTCCTTGAATAACTCTGGATTACTGTTGTTTTGTTATGTTGCTACATGCCGTCCAGTCAGTTCCAACTGACTGACAGTGACCCTATGTACAGCAGAACGAAACACTGCCTGGTCCTGTGCCATCCTCACAATTGGGGCTATGTCTGAGTCCATCGGCGCAGCCACCATATCCATCCATCTCACTGAGGGTCTTCCTGTTTTTCACGGACCCTCTTCTTTACCAAGCATGATATCCTTCTCCAGGGACTGGTCCTTCCTGATAACATGTCTAAATACATGAGACAAAGTCTCTCCATACTTGCTTCTAAGGAACATTCTGACTGTATTTCTTCTAAGGCAGATTTATTCATTCTTCTGGCAGTCCATGGTATATTCAATATTCCTTGCTAACACAAAGGCATCAATTCTTCCTCGGTCTTCCTTATTCATTGTCCAGCTTTTACATGCTTATGAGACAAATGAAGAATACCATGGCTTGAGGCAGGCACACTTTAATCCTCATAGTGACATCTTTGCTTTGTAACACTTTAAAAGAGGTCTTTTGCCGCCAGTCTGGCTAAAGCAATACATAGTTTGATTTCTTGACTTACACTTCCACATGTGTTGACTGTGAATATAAATAAAATGATATCCTTGACAACGTCAATCTTTTCTGTTTACTGTGATGTTGCCTACTGGTCCAGTTGTGAGGAATTTTGTTTTCTTTATGTTAAGGTGTAAGCCTTACTAAAGGTCATTGATCTTTATCAATAAGTGCTTCAAATCCTCTTTGCTTTCACCAAGGAAGGTCGTATCATCTGCATATTACAGGTTGTTAATGTATTCCTCCAATCCTGGTGCTGCGTTCTTCTTCACAAAGTTCAGCTTCTCGTGTTACTTACTCAGCACACAGACTGAGTAAGTATGGTGAAAGGATACAACCTTTTATTTATTTATTTATTTA